ATATGTGTGTGTGAGAATGTGTGTGTGTGTGTGTGTGTGTGTGTGTGCGTGCGTGCGTGCGTGCGTGCGTGTGTGTGTGTGTGTGTGTGTGTGTGTGTGTGTGTGTGTGTGTGTGTGTGTGTGTGTGTGTGTGTGTGTGTGTGTGTGTGTGTGTGTGTGCGTATGTTTATGTGTGCGTATGCGTATGCGTATGCGTATGTGTGTGTGTGTGTGTGTGTGTGTGTGCGTATGTGTGTGCGTGTGCGAATGTTTATGTGTGCGTATGCATATGTGTGTGTGTGTGTGTGTGCGTATGTGTGTGCGTGTGCGTATGTTTATGTGTGCGTATGTGTGTGTGTGTGTGTGTGTTTGAATGGAATCTCCTATTTGTCAAGGAATAAAAAAATAAGATAAAAAGGTAATTGTGAGCTTTTTCTCACAATTACGTGTTTATATATATAATTTGGAAATTTTGAGTATATATCTCAAAATTTGTTAGTTTTTCCTCAGAGTTCTGAGGAAATTTTGCAATTCATATTTTCTTTTTTTTTCACCACGGATTGAACACTTTTTTTCTCTCGCAATTGCAAGTTTATATCACACAATTTTTTTTCCTTGGAATTATGAGTTAATATCCTCAGATTTCTGAGTTTATATCTCGTAATCCTGACTTTTTCCCTCATAATTCTACATTTATATCTCGTAATCCTGACTTTTTCCCTCATAATTCTACATTTATATCTCGTAATCCTGACTTTTCCCCTCATAATTCTACATTTATATCTCGTAATCCTGACTTTTTTCCCTCATAATTCTGAGTTTATATCTCATAATCCTGATTTTTTTCCCCCTCATAATTCTAAATTCATAATTATTTTCTATCGGAATTTTGAATTTTTCGTAATTCATAAAAAATCATATTTTTTCCCCCCAGAAATTCAGAGTTTATACTGTATCTCATAATCCTGATTTATTTAGTTTCTGCCACAAATTCTGACTTTTTCCTGAGTTTGTGTGTACAAAGTCACAATAACATTTAAAAATTTTATTCTGTGGGATACATAAACTTCCATAGGTAGGATATCCTAATCTCAACACATGCATTAGTAATAATATGCATCCATAACTATATAAATGTGCTTCAGGAAACAAGAATGATGTTGCATTTACAGTAATCCCTAATGAGCGCACACTCTATTTACCCAGTAAAAAACAAAAGCGAGAGTTGGAGAATCAGAAAGTGTTGGAAGCGTTTCAGATTGATGTCTCGTCTCACAGCGTTAGCCAGAACGCCGAATGCTAACAGCCCAAAGTCTAATATGCTGGATCTCATTTGTATCCAGATCACAGGCCATGCTGTAATACTCCGGCGTCCAGCAAAACAATGGAGTCGTTGTGAATCAGGATCAGTGTACATGTTGCACCAACACCAGCACGCGTGTGTTCAGATCGCATGCGCTAGAAGAGGCTGTTTAGATTTGCAGGGCTTTCGTCTGTAATGCTGTTGTGTTGATGTCAGAAAGACCATCAGATTGCATCCCGTAATTATTTGCAACGCTTACATAATCAATATTGTTTGCTCTAAATATCAGATAATCCAAAGCACTTGCAATCCAAATATCAGCAAACAATCATTTAGCTGCTAATTAAACCAATTTACGGGATCCCTGTAGCTCTGGGTTACACAAGCCGTGTTTGCTACAGTAAGTTATGCATACACTTATGATTTTACCTGCTGGACGACAAACCTCCCAGAATACCGGAGCAACCACCCCTAGCAACCATATAGCAATACCCTAGCAACCACCAGGGATGGCCTAGGAACTGCCCAGAACACCCTAACAAGCACCCAAGATGCAATAGTTACTGTCCAGAACACCCTAGCAACCACCTGGGATGGCATAGCAACTGTACAGAACATCCTAGCAACCGCCCAAAATGCCCTAGTTACTTTCCAGAACACCCTAGCAACCACCCGGGATGCCCTAGCAACTGTCCAGAACACCCTAGCAACCACTCAGGATGGCCTAGCAGCCACTAGGGATGGCCTATCAACTATCCAGAACCCCCTAGCAACCACAAGGGATGCCCTAGCAACTGTCCAAAACACCCTAGCAACCACCCAGGATGGCTTAGCAACCACTAGGGATGGCCTATCAACTATCCAGAACCCCCTAGCAACCACAAGGGATGCCCTAGCAACTGTCCAGAAAACCCTAGCAACCACCCAGGATGGCATAGCAACCACTAGGGATGGCCTATCAACTGTCCACAACACCCTAGCAACCACCTGGGATGCCCTAGCAACTGTCCATACCACCGAAGCAACCTCCCGAAACGCCCAAGTTCCTGTCCAGAACAACCTAGCAACCACCCAGGAGGTCCTAGTAACTGCCCATAACACCCTAGCAACCTCCCAGGAGGCACTAGTAACTGCCCAGAACACCCTAGCAACCACCCGGGATGCCTTAGCAACTGTCCAGGACACCCTAGAAACTACCTGGGATGCCCTTGCAACTGC